AAAAAAAAAAAAAATCCTCCCTGACAGCCCAGCCTCTCAGCCTACTGGCCTTCTCCAGCTTCTCATCTTGACATTGTCGCACCCCACAAAATGGGGTCCACGCCATGAGGAAGGAGATAGGTTTAGGCAGTTGGGCTGAGACATTGGGTCCTTGACTTTTGGCTGCATTGATCCCCAAAGGGCTCTGGCTGAGCGCCTGGCCAGGGTGGGGCCCCCTGAAAGCGAGCCAGCCCGAGAAGCTTCAGCTAGTGCCCTGGACCGTGTGACCCGGCTGTGCCACCGTGTCCTGACTGACCTGCTGTTCCAGGAGCTACAGGTGAGTGAGGAAAGGGGCAGAGTGGTGGGTGGCCATAGTGCCCATGCCAGGACAGGGAAGCACCCCCTCCCACAGTTCCCTTCAGCCCATGACTCAGTTTTGGGAAGAGCCAGGGGTGGGGGTTATGGCCATGCCTGGGCTGTTTGGAAGGGCAGAAGGAGGGTACAGGAAGGAAGAAGTGGGAAGATGTAGCAAAGGGGAGAATAGAACCACCAGTGGGGCGGGGGGCTTAGGGTTTAGGTGGCGCTCCTCCCCACTGAGGTCTCCCAATACCTCCCAGGCTCTCCAAGACCCCCTTTTCTGGGCCCCTGTGCTTTCCCTGGTAGGTTCAAAGGCAGGTGAGAAAATGTGGGGAGGGAGGTAGGCATCCTGAGAGTGAGACTAAGAGGGGTGTGCCCCTGATTGGAACATAAATTCAATCTGTTTGGTCTTCAGACCACATCCCTTCTCTGCTCAGAATCCTCCCATGGCTTCCAGCTCACAAAGAGCAAAAACACAAATCCTCACTATGGCCCCCAAGGGCTGCATGGTCTGCCCCTTCTCCCCCTCAGCCTCATCTCCTACCCTTCTGCCCCTGCTCACCCCCCTCCAGCCATACCAGCCCCATGCTGTCCCTTAACACAGGAGGCACATTCCTGCCTCAGGGCCTTGGCACTTGCCCTTCCCTCTGCCTGGGATATGCTCTCTCTCTGATAGCCACGTTACTCTCTCTCCAGCTTTGCAAGTCTTTTTTTTTTTTTGACATAGTCTCCCTGGGTAGAGTGACATGGCGGTCAGGGCTCACAACAACCTCAAACTCTTGAGCTCAAGTGATCCTCTTGCCTCAGCCTCACCAGTAGCCCACCACAGGTGACCACCACAATGCCTAGTTGTTTTTTTTAGAGACAGGGCTCAGGCTGGTCTTCAACTCCTAAGCTCAGGTGATCTACCTGCCTCAGCTACCCAGAGTGTTAGAATTACCAGTGGGAGCCACCTTGCCAGGCCAGCTTTGCAACTCTTGACTCAAACATCACCTTCTCAGTGAAACCTTCTGTGATCACCCCATTTAGAATGAAGCCCTGGAGACCCCTCCTCCTGATTCCCTGCTGCATTTGTCCTCAAAGCACTTATTACCACCTGCTTTATCATTTGCTTTTTTGTTTGTTTGTTTGTTTGACTGGCCTCCTTCCATTGGAATGTTAGCTTCTCAAGGGCAGGAATTCATAGGAATGTTTCGAAAATAACTTTTTATTGTGGAAAATTTTAAACATACATACCCACAAGCAGGAGGACAGAATGACCCCTTCTGGATTCATCAGTCAGCTCCAGCAAATGTCAACTTCTGGCCAGTTGTGTTCCATCTTCCAGCCCCCACCTACCCTTCACTGTATTCTTTTAAAAATCTCTGACATCCTGTCATTTCATGTATTAGCACTTCAGCCTGTGTCTCCAAGAGATAAGGAATCTTTTATTTTTATTTTTGAAACAGAGTCTCACTTTGTCACCTTCAGTAGAGTGCTATTGGCATCATAGCTCACAGCAACCTCAAAACCTCGCTCAAGCGATTCGCTTGTCTCAGCCTCCCAAGTAGCTGGGACTATAGGCACCTACCACAATGCCTGGCTATTTTTTAGAGACAGGGTCTCGCTGTGGCTCAGGCTGGTCTTGAATCTGTGAGCTCAGACAATCCACTTGCCCCGGCTTCCCAAAGTGCTAGTATTAACAGGTCTGAGCCACCAGCCCAGCCAAGGAATCCTTTTAAACAAATGTAACAAAAGGTTATTTTCATCCATAACAAATGAGGCAGTAATTCCTTGATATCATCAGCTGTCAGACCACTGTTTAGAGTCCCTGAGCAGGTCATGATTATCTTGGGCAAAAAGTTTGGTTTTTCTCACTCTCTGCTATGTCCCCAGCATTTTCTAATGGATCTTAGTGATCCACCCAGGACTGGGCCCAAAGAAAGGGCTCAGAGGGCGTTTTTTGAATGACTAAATGAATAAATATGTAGATGAAAATGAGAAAATGGGGGAGTATGGTGATGCTGGGAAGAAGTTACAGCCTTTGTTTCAGGCTTGGCTGCACAGCCTCCCAGTAGGGGGCCCTTGGACAACTTGCTTGTCCTCTCAGGGTCTCTGTTTATGCATCTGGAAAGAGGACACAGGAATTCCAGGCTTCTCAGATGGCTCTAAAGACACAGTAGGATTTTGGCCATCCTGCTTAGCTCAGAGCCCAGCCCGCAGGTATTGGCCATTGCTCTCTTCATAAATGTACAGGCTTCACAGCACCAGTGAGCACATCTCTAGCACTCACTGTGCCAGCCAAGTATCAGCTCCTTTTTTTCTTACTATGATCCTGCAAGATGGGTCCTATAGTCAGGCCATTTATAGAGGAGGAAAATGAGGCCCAACAAGTGACAGAGCCCAGACAACAATCTGGCTCAAGTCTAGATTCTTTTTTTTTTTTTTTTTTTTTTTTGTAGAGACAGAGTTTTACTTTATCACCCACGGTAGAGTGTCGTGGCATCACACAGCTCACAGCAAACTCCAACTCCTGGACTTAGGTGATTCTCTTGCCTCAGCCTCCCGAGTAGCTGGGACTACAGCTGCCCGCCACAATGCACAGCTATTTTTTTTGTTGCAGTTTGGCCAGGGCCAGGTTTGAACCAGGTACCTTCTTCATATGGGGCTGGTGCCCTGCCCACTGACCCACAGGCGATGCCCCAAGTCCATATATATATATATATATATATTTTTTTTTTTTTTTTTGAGACAGAGCCTCAAGCTGTTGCCCTAGGTAGAGTGTTATGGCATCACAGCTCACAGCAACCTCCAGCTCCTGGGCTCAAGCGATTCTCCTGCCTCCACCTCCCAAGTAGCTGGAACCACAGGTGCCCACCAAAACACCTAGCTGTTTTTTGGTTGCAGCTGTCATTGTTGTTTGGTGGGCCCCCACTGGATTCGAACCCTCCAGCTCAGGTGTATGTTGCAGGTGCCTTAGCTGCTTGAGCCACAGGTGCTGAGCCTCAAGTCTAGATTCTTAATCTGTAAATCACTATGTACATTTTGAAAGAGACAGAGAGAGAAACAGAGAGAGACCAGTGTGGCATCGTGCTCACACCTGTAATCCTAGCACTCTGGGAGCCTGGGGTGGGTGGATTGCTTGAGCTCACAAGTTCGAGACCAGCCTGAGCAAGAGTGAGACCCTTATCTCTACTAAAAATAGAAAAACTAGCCCAGAATTGTGGTACACGCCTGTAGTCCAAGCTATTTGGGAGGCTGAGGCAAGAGGATTGCTTGAGCCCATGAGTTTGACATTGGTGTAAGCTGATGCCATGGCACTCTACTGAAGGTGACAAAACAAGACTCTGTCTTAAAAAAAGAAAGAAAGAAACAAACAAACAAACAAAATGAGAAAACAGGGCAGGTCAGGGAGAAAGGGAAGAAGCCAGAAGGGAGAGCTATCTGGGACAGAGACAGAGGGAGAGACATCAGAAAAATCTAGAGACGTGGAGAGACAGACCCAGCTGTGTGGGAAAGCCCATGTGAGCATGTGAGTGGCTGTGGGCTGGAGGGAGCATGTGTACACAGATGTACATGTGTGTGAGCATCAGGCAGGGTGCAGGCCTAGCAGAGTCCCCAGGGGCCGGGTTGCCTCATGCCTTGCTTTTCAACAGAAGCCCATAGGCTCCCATTTTGGGAGGTTCAGAAAACTGGGCTGCTGTTAGGATGAGGGAGTAGGAAGGGAGCCCTGGGGCCAAGTGGAATAGGAACTTGCTTTAGACCCCAGGGGACACCCAATCTCAACACCCACTCTCCCTGTGTCCACCCAGACTACACTGTCTTCTCCCAGCCCTCCAGGCTCCATCTCAGGGACAGACCCACTGCTCATCACACCTTCCCCCCAATTTCCCACCTGGATTATCCTCCCCCCACCCTTCTCACTCCCACTTTTCACGCCTTCCAACCTCCTCCCTAACTTCTGCCTCAGTCTCGCCTTCTCCCATCCATCTTGGTAAACTTGACCCTCTCCCTCCCTTGCTAGAACGTGCCATGGCTCCCCCATGCCCTCAGGAGAAAGCTAGGGCTTCTCACACAGCCAGGAAGCCCTGAGCACCCCAGCCATGTCTATCTAAGCAGCACCTCACTCCCTGTCACATGCCTGGGGTAAAAACCAGTGCAGGCTTCAGGGTCACGTCCCCCCACCACATACACACTTAGAAGGGCCCCAGCTTGGTTTAATGTTCTGCTGTTGCTGTCTTAAAGTTCTTTTTTTTTTTTTTTTGACAGGGAAAGAAATGTTTTTAATTATAAACTCAGTCAATTTGGCATACTTCAAAAAAAAATTTTTTTTTTCAGTTCAGTGCCTGTGGCTCAAGCGGCTAAGGTGCCAGCCACATACACCTGAGCTGGTGGGTTCAAATCCAGCCTGGGCCCGCCAAACAACAATGATGGCTGCAACCAAAAAATAGCCAGGTGTTGTGGTGGGTGCCTGTAGTCCCAGCTACTTGGGATGCCGAGGCAGGAGACTCACTTGAGCCCAGGAGTTGGAGGTTGCTGTGAGCTGTGATGCCACGGCACTCTATCCAGGGGGACAGCTTGAGGCTGTGTCTCAAAAAAAAAAAAATTTTATTTCCCCCGAGACAGAGCCACAAGCTGTTGCCCTGGGAAGAGTGCTATGGTATCACAGCTCACAGCAACCTCCAACTCCTGGGCTCAAGTAATTCTCTTGCCTCAGCCTCCCAAGTAGCTGGGACTACAGGCGCCTGTCACAGCGCCTGGGTATTTTTTGGTTGTAGTTGTCATTGTTTGTTTCGCAGGCACCCACCAGCTCTGGTGTATGTGGCTGGCACCTTAGCTGCTTGAGCTACAGGTGCCAAGCTGGCATATTTCAAATTTTTAACACTTTTTAAAATTTATCTGTAAAAAAGTTAGAAATTAACTTTTCTCAAAATCAGCAAATGGCAAATTTTCTTGAAAGTCACAGTCACCTATACAGGGCACCAGGGGAGAGGGGAGTGGCAGGACAGGTTCATGAGTTCCATCTAATACAGGATCTTGTCACAGATAGAGAGAAAAGGCAGCTTTCAAAAAAGGACTGTGGGCTGGGCAACTATAGCTCAAGCGGCTAAGGTGCCAGCCACATACACCAGAGCTGGTGGGTTTGAATCCAGCCCAGGCCTGCCAAACAACAATAACAACTACAACCAAAAAATAGCCGGGCATTGTGGCAGGCGCCTGCAGTCCCAGCTACTTGGGAGGCTAAGGCAAGAGAATCGCTTAAGCCCAGGAGTTGGAGGTTGCTGGGCTTGGAACAACTAAGCCAGCACCACAGTTGGAGCTGTGATGCCATGGCACTCTACTCTGTCTCAAAAAGAAAGAAAGAAAAGAAAAAAAAAGACTGTGCGGGTCAGTGCCTGTAGCTCAGCAGGTAGGGCACCAGCCGCATACACTAGAGCCATACACTGGAACTGGCGTGATTGAACCCAGACTACAGAAGCCCATCACAACGTCTGGATAGTTTTTCTATTTTTAGTAGAGATGGGTCTCACTCTTGCTCAGGCTGGTCTCTGAACTCCTGAGCTCAAGCAATCCATGTGCCTTGGCCTCCCAGGGTGTTAGGATCATAGGCATGAGCCACCACACCCAGGTAAAGTTTTTAAGGTTTTTTTTCTTTTTGAGACAGAAACCATGTCACCTTCACTAGAGTGCCATGTTGTCACAGCTTACAGCAACCTCAAACTCTTGGGCTTAAGCGATTCTTTTGCCTCAGCCTCCCAAGTAGCTGGGACTGCAGGGGCCCACCACAACACACGGCCATTTTTTTGTTGTAGTTGTCATTGTTGCTTGGCAGGCCTAGACTGGGTTCAAACCCACCAGTCCCAGTATATGTGGCCGACACCCTAGCCATTGAGCTATAGGTGCCAAGGCAAAGTTTTTAAGTTTTGAATGTGGGTCCCCTGTTTTCATTTTTCACTGGGCAGGGAGAATTATGCAGACAGTCTTGTCAGCCACACTGAGTCACTCTGGGCCTTCTTCACACTGGCTCTCCCTTCCCATTGAGCCACATACTGCCCCACCCCTCACCTGGGTAAGCATAGTCTTCAGGGGGCCTCAGCACAGGTGTCTCCTTCTCCAAGAAGCCTACCTGAGGCTGTGCTGAGTTGGGCATCCCCTTCTGGTTTCCTAACCCCCTGGGCTCCTCTGTCCCAGCCCTGTCAGCTGTGGGTCATCACTGCCTGGGGACAGGGTCTTTCTCCCGCTGTGACTGTGAGCTCCAAGAAGGCAGGGCCTCGGCCGTCACATCCCTGATATGTCCCCAGCACCATACCGCCCTGGTTCAGCATGGAACAGAGTTTTGGGAACTTATTCCTAAGTAAAGAGGGGTGGAAGGGAGAACTAGACTCCCTGCTCTGTCCCATCAGCCGTACTTCAACAAGCTGATGCGCCGGAAGTGGCTGAGCAGCCCTGAGGCACTGGATGGCATCGTGGGCACGCTGGGCGCTCAGGCCCTGGCCTTGCGCCGGATGCAGGACGAGCCTTACCAGGTGCACCTGCCTGAGGGTGGGCGCGGGGTGGGGAAGAGTAAAAGCGCTAGGGGAGACCCCCCCTTCCAGGCGGGTAGCTGCTCTCAAGGGGTGGAAGAGGCGCGCCCTGCCCGGAGTCTTAGTGCCCGCTGGAGTGTGAGGCCGGTGGAGGGGGGGCTCTGAGAGAGGAGCTTGGGAAATGAATGGAGAGAGGCTGGGGCACCTTTTGGGGACCGGTAGGAGTGGGTGCCCGGGGAAGGTATTATCGGGTAGGGAGAGGGCTGGGGCTGAGCGCCCTGTGGGAAGGGTTCCTGTTAGGTGCCCAGAGTGGGTGACTTACACCCCTCTTGTCTGGCTCCCATGCCCGCAGGCGCTGGTGGCCGAGCTGCACCGGCGAGCGCTGGTGGAGTACGTGCGGCCCCTGCTCCGCGGGCGCCTGCGCTGCAGGTCGGCGCGGACCCGCAACCGCGTGGCCGGGAGGCTCCGGGAGGACGCGGCGCAGCTGCAGAGGCTGTTCCGGCGCCTGGTCAGTGTGGGGCGGGCGGGGCTCCCAGAGGAGGCTTGGAGGATCCCGGGACTCAAAGGCGGGGGCAGGGCTTAGACTAAGATCCACATCACCCACCTTTTGGTCAATAGAAACAATTAACTCTGCTCTGTACTCTTTGCGCATAAAAATAGGCTTGCTTTCTGGGAGAGCTGGCCTCAGGGTGCCTTCCTCAACTGTGAAAGAATTGTGGTCCCTACTCACTGCTGGTAGGATCAGATCAGTTAATTCCTAAGTGCTTAGGACAGTACCTGGCACGGAAAACATAAATAGAAGTTAAATGCGACAGAAACTCTGAATCCTAACATTTCCAAGCCCAAGAATTTAAAACCATCAAATTTTATTTGTACTCAGTTGTATTCGGCAGTACTGGAAGGTCCCTGTTTAGTCGCTTTTCCAGGAGTTTCTAGCCTGCAGTCCTTGGGATTTTTTTGTTTGTTTTTTAATTTTGAAAGAGTTGTAGATTCACATGGAGATGTAAGAAAGAATGCAGAGGGCTCCGTTGTGCACTTTATCCAGTTTCCTCCCAATTGGAACATTTTGCAAACTTGGAAGAGGTTTTGAGGTGTGTCCTCTGAGTCCCAAAATTATCTGCAAAACAGGGAGTAGATTATACCATGTATTATTCTTCAAATCTGGCTATAGTCTTTTGTTTGTTTTTTGTTTTGTTTGAGACAGAGTCTCACTCTGTCTCCCTGGTTAGAGTACTGTGGCATCATAGCTCACAGCAACCTCAAACTCTTGGGCTTAAGCAATTCTCTTACCTAAGCCTCAGGAATAGCTGGACTAAAGGCTCCTGCCACAATAGCTGGCTAGTTTTTTCTATTTTTACTAGAGAAGTGGTCTTCTTGCTCTTGCTCTGAGCTCAGCTGATCCACCCTTCTCAGCCTCCCAAACAGCTAGGATAACAGGCATGAGCCACAGTCTGTTTTTTGGTAGGTTTTATAAACGGGAAAACTAAGGCCAGGAGGGACAGGAGCAGGGGAAGGTGGACCCAGGGATGGTGTGGTTTGGGAGGTGGCTGTTTGGGAGAGTATGTGAGCCCTCAGCCTTCTCTTTACAGGAGTCCCAGGCCTCATGGCTAGACGCTGTGGTGCCCCATTTGGCTGAAGTCTTGCAGCTGGAAGACACGCCCAGCATCCAGGTGGAGGTGGGGGTGCTGGTGCGTGACTACCCAGACATCAGGTGAGAGGCACAGCCGCCCTCCTGGCCACACCGCTGTCGCTGCCCGCCGAGGTCTCCTGGTGGCCTTGGCAGCCGTCCCTGTGTTTCCTGCCTCCTGGGTGAGGGAGGGAGGCAGCGAGCGTGTCTGACGGCCGTTTCCTGCTGGAACCAGGGCATTATTAATACGATTTCCCTCCTTCTCCTGCTGCCGCCGCCACCAGGGCTTGCAAACAAACAGGCGGTCACAGGAAGCCCAGGGCAGGGGGGGCGCGGGGCCGCCCGGCAGCAGGAAGGGCCAGCCCAGCAGGGAGCCACGGGGGACACGGGGACACACATGGGCACGCAGGGGACACGCATGGGCACGCGGGCACATACACGCACTTTGCTGCAGGCACAGGTGCCATACAGATACTAGTGGGCCCCTTCCTTTCTGTGTGGCCTTCTCTGAGCCTCAGTTTCCTCATCTTTTCCATAGGGATTCAGTACTCTCTTCAGAGGATTATTAGAGAACTTGTGATCATCATCGCCCACCACAGTTAACAATACCAGTTCTTGCTCCTTGAGTTATTTCAGACCTAAATAAGCAGCTATCATGTGTACTCTATAAGTAAGAGATAGAATTAAGGTCATTTTAGAAAATATATGCAAGTAACTCATCTGAGGCATGCAGAAATTAAATAGCTCCTTTTAGTGTCACAGCTAGCCAGTTAGTTGCAAAGTTGGGACTTAAACCCAGTCAGCAAAGTGGCTTCAAAGCCAGTGCACCAGACCAGCACACCACACCACCATCTATGAGTGTTGGGTGGTGGCAGTGGCAGCAGCAACCCTAGTTTGTTGTTAGAGCAGGCTGATATTCTATACTCTCAGAGATACAAAACATCACGAAAACAAGGACCGAGGCATAAGAGAGTTTGTGTTCCAGGATTAAGGGTAGGGGTTCTAGAACTCATTCCAGATGATCAGTTCTGGTTCTGGGGAATGGGATCTTGTTCTTAGGAAGGTACAGAGTCCTGGAGTCCCAAGGGGTCCCAGTAATCCTGCTGGGTTGGAATCCCTGAACTTGGGTCTCAAATCTCAGATCTGAACTTGAATCTAAAGCTAAGTTTGAGGTTCTCTAGCTGGGCTGGGAGGAGTGATTTGAAAGCTGAGTTTGGGGACTCTGTTTTGGAACTTGGTTGAGCTGGAAGGTTCTTGAGCCATGTTTTGGGTGAGTATTTTGGAGCTGTGGGGATTCTAAACCTGGCATGTGGGAAGATGAAGAACCTGAACATGGTAGGAAGACCCCAGAGCCCTGTTTGAAATGAGTATTCTTGATGTCAGGCTCAAGATCTTGAATTGAAATATGGTGCTGGTTCTGGAGTTGAGTTTTGGATCCATGATCTGGAGCTGAGGTGGGGGTGAAAGAACAAGTCCTAATGTGTTGGATTAGGGGCAAAGATTGTAGAATAGAGCTGGTTTGGGACATGAGGTTTCTGGCTGGAGGGAGGGTCCCTAAGGTGAGTTTTAGTCCTGGAGTGGAATTTTGGTGGAGCACCAAAATGGATGAGGACAAAGTGAGTGTTCCAAGATCAAATTTGGGGATGAAAGTTCTACAGTAGGTTCTAGGTTGAGAAGTTTTGGGTTGAATTGTGGGTGAGAGTTCCAGAACTGCAATGGCAGGCCTTGGGATGAGATAAGAGTTAGGGTAGGAATTTTGGCGAACACTTCTGGGTGAATCGAGTGATGCTTATGGGGCTGTCTGGAGTGAAAGTGAAGATGACATTAAGGATTTGCCGTAGAGCCCAGAGCTTCAATGGCCATGAGGGCACCAGGATGCAAGTGTAGGAGTCATCCAGGCTAAGAT